TATGATATGACACAGAGAAGCTATGATGCAATGGCCCTTTCACATAAGTATCTCAAAGCCTTGTTGGTTTTCACTGAAGAGGTACCCTATATATATATATATATATATATATATATATATATATATATATATATATATATATATATATATATTATATATATGTAAATATATATATATAATATATATATTATATAATTTTTTTTTGTCTACTCAAGTAATTATGAACACCCCTGTTTCCATTATAATTGTTTTGTGAAAGAAAGAATGTAATTTCACATGCATAACTATCAAATGAATTACAAATATATCTGTATCTTTGCATAAAACTGGGCTGGCTGCTTATGCTTCAAGGACATTAAAAAGACAATGAAACATATGGCTTAATACAATTAACAGTCTTGCATCCACAAACCTTGTTTTCCATGGATACTCAGCAGGCCTCACATCCGCAATGGTGATTCTTAACTATCATTTATCACCACAACTCATTTTAACTTAATCCTGAAGACACCACAGGATTCAATGAAGTTTGCAATCTCCAGGTTACTCTGAGCCACTTGAGGAATGGGCAAGAAAGTCACCTACCTCATATACACAGTTATATTGTCCACATTTAGTTTTGTAGTTATCATCCATATGATTTCAAACTTTAGATACCAAATAGCTTTTAACTACTGTACAACGTACTTATTAGTGTACTTCATTGACAATATTTTTATCTGAATATCATAATACCTTTGTGATGAGGTTAAAATCGACAGAAGTCTTTATCTACATTATAAAGCAATAATGAAAGTAATGATGATGATGATAATAATAATAACAATAATAATAACAATGATAAAAATAATATTAATAATAATAATAATAATAATAATAACAATAATAATTATAATAATAATAATAATAAAATTAATAATGATAATGATAATAATAATAATAATAATAATAATATCAATAACAATAACATCAACCCACATGTGACGGTACATTTTCAAGCCAAAAAATAATATTCTACGGGTGCCTTCAAAACCTGCGCGCAGGCAACAAAATCAGAGCACAAGCTCCAATCTAGTGTTGCACTGGCAGGACCTCGGTAAGGTTTATTTTTCCGGGTGTCTCATGTGTGAAATCACCTGTTGTAAGTTGGCTAATATAATAATAATTATAATAATAATAATATAATATAATAATAATAATAATAATAATAATAATAATATAATAATAATAATATATAATTATAATTATAATAATAATAATAATAATTACAAAAATAATACAGTAACAATAATGCTACTAAGAACAATGACAATAAAATGATTGATGATGATGATGATGAAAACAGTAAAACAACAGGTACAGAGTAAATGGTGGTAACAAAAAATATACAACATGAATAACATGAATAAGAACTCCTAACTCCTCCATTAATTAAAAAAGAAAGAAAGAAACATCTACCATATTCTGTCTTCAACTACCTTTATCTAACTTAAGCACCCACTATTTTTCCTAAAGCTACTTTTAATTTGCCAATATCTAATAAAATTATGCCTGGGCCATAGGCAACCCACCCATAAACTTTTGTCACAATTCATGGGTAAACTTTTGCATGATCCCTCTCACAAACCAATTCACCAAGTGACCAGTGTGCCAATAAATATAAGCATGAAGGAAATTAAGTTCAGTCAAGACTTCAATCCATTTTCCATCTGTTTTGGGTCATTTCTTAGATTCATTACTCACCTATAAAATGTAAAGGTTGTCTATAGTAGCAATTAAATACAAGTTCTTCACTGCTAGCAGTAACTGTTACCGATAGCGCTGCCCTTCCCAGAGACTAATTTGAAAAAAAATTGTTTTTCTCCTGGAAATCCAATGATTTCATCGAGTCTTAGCGTTCTTTCTTCTGCAAATGAATCATTGAAGAGATCGAGTACCATTTCTCGAACTTGATTTGATAGACCCGATAACTGGGGAGGGCATGATGTATATCAGGGAAATTACAGGGTAAACAGGCTTAAATAAGAAGAATGAAGAAATAAATGTGTAAAACCATCACAAAAAACGCTTAAAATTGGCCAATAAACCTTTGAAATTTCTAGATTGACATGCCAAAATTAAAAAACTCTGCAGGAACCCAACCCACCTTTATATACAGGAATTAACATTTTCCAAACCCCCTAAAAGAAGTACTGACTAATAAACCAACCCAATCTAACATCTTAAGTTACCATGACTAGGATTGCCCTTCGGAGCTCCGACCCCAAAACCCCACATGAAACATTCTCTTGTACGGCAAGACAGAGCTGCGTTCACACCGTAAAATATTAAACCAAATACCTCTATATCTGGAAACGTCAAACTTTCGTTTCCTTCTTTCTCCTGTCTGGCTTTATTTTGATTGTAATTGTTTTTTTGGCATTTGGGGCACTTGAAGAGTTCAGGAATTAAACTGGGATGGCTACTAAAGTCTTTTTCTTCTTCGTTGTCACTGTATAATCTTAAGAATAACCCAGAATCAACACAACACTGGAAATACAACATTTCTTATAGCCTTCTGCCACTGAATGGCCAGTGAGCTGTCGAACTTCATGGCTGAAAGTGAAACACACAATGCGCCTATCATTCTAAATAAGTATATATATAAATCTTAAAATGCGTAAATGAAGTATAACATTAATGATAGACTTTAAAAGCATAAAAGTGTAACAGCAGACACTGCTACTTAGCCAAATATCGTTTTGACAAGCACGTAGTAACACAAACTACTTTGGATATCGCAGGAGTTATGTAACCTGTGTTATGCTATTCCTGGCATGGTAAACAAAATGAATCTTAGAATCTGAGCCTTGATAGGCAGGGTATATTTTTGTCATTTAGTGGCGACTATGAGGCTGGTGCTGCTTAAACTATTTTGTATCCTATTCTATTTCTTCCACTTTATAAGATGGCAGTCATCATTTCCCTCTATCTCCGAGAGTTACTATAAGTAACTTATACCCTGTTAGCAAGCAATATGTGGCACTCTTTTCTGCAAGAAATGACACATAGGTATTTACCTATCAACAAAATTAAATAGTAATTGGTCAACTTTAAGTTCTGATTTTTAATAATAACAAAACTGTTTAACAAGAACTAATAAAACTATAAATAAAATAAATGAAAGATTAACAATAAAAGTAGAGAAGGCATGAATGAGAATGAATATCTTAATGCAAGAGAAGTAACTGACCAGTTTCCATTATATCTTCGTCAGAAATACATCTGCACCTTTTCTACATTTTCCAATAATAACAGTAATAACAGTAATGATATTGAAAATGGCAATGATAATACTAACATTAAGAACCCCAATAATAATAAACAATTATGATTATGTTGATAAAAAAAAAAAAATGATATCAATAATGTCAATAATAACAATAAAAACAATATTAATAACAACACAAACAATAACAACAACAACTACAAAAATAATAATAATAATGATAATCAAACAATTATAACAATAATAATGATGATAATAATAGTAGTGATAATAACAATGACAATAATAATGACAACAATAATAAAGATAAAAATAGTAATAATAATAATTAATAATAACAATAACAATAACAAAATCAATAATAATAATAATAATAATAATAATAATAATAATAACAACAATCATCATCATCACCATCATAATAACAATAATAATAATAATAATGGTAACAATAACAGTGAAAATAACAAAAATACCAACAACAACAATACTAATAAGATTCATACCCATAATAATAATTACTATCATTATTACTATTATCATATTATTACAATGATCATATTGTAATTATCATATCATTATCATCTTATAACTATTATCATAACCACAATAAAAAAAAAAAAAAAATCCGTACACAACTTTTCTCCCAAAATACAAAAATTACAAGAACTTGTTTAATGCATTCTCTGAAATAGTAAAGTTACTAGTAAAAAAATATACATATAAGAATATCTTGATGCAAACCTGCAAATATCAGCAATAAAAAATCAATAAATAAAGAATAATAATAATAAAAAAAAAAATGTTGGGCTGTTATTCCACAAATCAGAATCAATAAAAATTATCCACTACATGATAGTGAACACTTCAAATTTAAAAGAGTTCTTATAATTAAATAATCTCTGAAGCTACTATCTCTGTCAATTCAAAATCAATCCATGGCTTATATGGGATTGCTGTCTGACTTAATGAAAAAAGAGAAAAAAAAATGTAGGATGATTTACTTAGTCCTACAAGAGTTGCTTGAGTATTGGTCTAATTTGACTCTTTCCAGAAAATTATAAAATATGATATTCTAACTACAGGTAACTTATAAAAGTTACTTGTCAAGAGCCAAGCATTCAGAGATTCTAGACATAAACAAAACTCACCACCTGATCAATATGCTGAAGTAACAATGTCCAGGCTTGGAAGTCATTTGGGTTGTCATTCACATTCTTCCATAGCTTATCAACTTCATTGGTGCGTTTCTTTGATGCAGGTTCATCATCACTGGGAGTTGCACTTGGGGGACGTTTGCGCATATTTTCTTCATCAGTTTCTTTCATCTGGAAGGGTGACATTTAAAATTACAATAGATTTCAATACATCTAATCAATTATGAAAGCACATTAGAAGAACAATTAATTATTAAAATATCATACATATATTATACATATGTTTATATGTACATACAAACATACAGACTTGCATACACTCTTATCCTATATATATTGTCTCATGTGCAACAAACATTTGTCACATAAAATAAACATTTCTAACAAAGTTCTAGATTTTGTTGCTATATACATTGTTTTTTTCATTAGTTTACCTAACTAATCCTGATAATGTAATGGGACAGTTACTCTACAGTACCAAATTTGCTGCTTCCCCTCCAGTGATGTGAGGAGTATTGTACATCTTACCGCTAAAACCAATAACAGTTAATAAATACCTCTTCTTCTTCTTGTTCCTCATTGTTCTCATAGGATTCTGGCTGAATGCCCTCAGGAACCTGATCTGAGTCTTCACCATCCAGTATTTCCTCTCTGATCATGTCACTTAGCATGTCTGAATCAGGCATACCAAGATTACTGTGATCATCCATATCCATCTTGTTCTGAAATAAACAAATAAATCATATCAACACCATCATTCATGAAACTTAAATGTATTGTAGATAGACATTACATATCATACTTTGGACTTATGACCAATGCAGCACATTTCAGAATAACAAAGGTGTAAAACATGCATCACCCACATGACAAATATGCACTTTTTGGTATTACAGGAAAGGTCAACAAAATCCACTTCATATATTCTAGTCTGATAGCATATAGACTGGTTCCTTGTTTGGAAATAAACCTCCAGGATTTATTACCATTCATATATGCTGTGCCACAACTAATAAAGCCCCCTGTAGTAGTCTTCCTACCATATTTGCACAGGAAGTGTTGTACTGAGGATTCACTGTCTTGAATCATTTGGCAGAAAACATTGCACAGAATATGCAAAATGAAATCATTCTCACTTACAATTGGCCTTATGTTGTTTTGCTGGCTTTAACTGAAAATCCAGTATTTTGTTACAATTATAACCAAAATGTGTCAATCACATGTTTATCACCCTCAAGAAAATGTTAGAGGAGCCTGCAGGTGGATCAAGACTGCCACTGCCACTTATGCAGGATGCCTACATAAAGCAGAACACTATATGTGAGCTCCTCTCTTTCACCATAGTCTGTGATGCTAATTTGCATTTTTTTTCTTCTACTTTTTTTAAGCTTTTTAGTTAACTGTTTCCGTGAGTGATGGCTACAGGGTAAACAATTTCTTTAAACCTAACTTTCCAGTTTACAATGAAAATACGATCATAAGTCATAGAAGGAAGTTTCCTTATGCACTTACGAATGGAGGTGTCTATAATTATATAAGCAAAGCAAAGGAAGAACAGCTTTAATCTTACAATGCCCTATCGGTCAATCTTGTACAGGTCTACCTCCTCTTAACACACAAAGCGACACCATGCCACACACTACATAACAAACACATTTTATTGTCTCCCAAGTATGATATCCACTTTTAAGGTAAGTTAAAGGCAAATTTCTTGATCATGAGAAGACATTGAAGAATGAAGTTATGTTCACTCTACTATGACCTTACTTGATATCCTGTTTCCTTAAGTTTTCAGGTTTTTTTTTTCTAATAACATCAATATCGATCCAGTTGTTGCTATTACCGACATTATAATCATTACAGTATTATGAACAATCCTTACAGCAATATAAAATAAAGAATATTTCTAAAATAAAGGAAAAGGATAAACAAGTAAGTAGGATTAGAAAAATAACTGCTTGGGATATAGCATCTGCATAAGAACAATTATCAAACTGAAGCCAGAGTACACATCGCATGTACATACATCACGCTTTCTGTGTAGCACTTTCAACCAACCTGGATACATTTTCGATTAGTAATTCTTAAATCCTTTATTTTATCACATTTCCTCTCTTCCTTTTAAGCTTATACATTATTATTGGTCATTTATCTAATGTCTGTATTTTCTGATTGGATAAAACATATAAATCCAATTCCGTTGCGACAAAACGCAAAAATTAAATAGAAAAGTTGGATGCAATTTTTAAAAATCACTTTTTAAGAACACCTGGTTTGATAATAGTAAGCTCAATTTTGAAACTAATTTAAAATTTGTCAATTTGTATCTGAGAGTGAGGTTTTCATAGGAATCTTTATAGAGCATTTAACTTTCCAAACAAGACTATTTGCGATTGGGCAAGCTTCTGTTGAAAGGTTTTAATTCTTTGGTGCACTGAAAATCAATCCAACAAAATTGGTGGGTTGGGAAATTGTTGAGATTGATGAATCTCAATTTGGAAATGGAAAATATAATGTTAATTGTTATTGAAGGTCAGTGGATTCTTAAAGCAGTATGCCGTAAGAGTAGGGTTTTTTTTCCTCGTACCCGTGGAGGCGCGTGACATGCTCTCTTTGCATAACGTCATTAAGGAGTATATCCACCCCGGACAACAATCATTAGTGACTGTTGGAAGGCATGCAACAGTCTTGAAAAAGAGGGCTATCAACATTTAACTGAGAATCATTCATTATGATTTTGTTTACCCTGACAAGGCGCACACTAATATGATCGAGCGTAAATGGAGGGGGGCCAAAGCCAAAGTGGCCCGCTTCTGCAAGAGGGATTACCACTTCGCTGGGTATCTGGCTAGGGCAATTTTTTCTTTTGGTCTACTCAGTGGAGAACAAATGTTTCCATCAGTTCCTCCTCGCTGCAGCTCATCTGTGCCCTCCACACTGACGGTGTCACAAATATTGTTTTAATGTTTATATATATATATATATATATATATATATATATATATATATATATATATATATATATATATATATATAACCTGACATCGTGCTATTAAGAGGGGGGGATACATTGGATAGGTTTCAGTATTTGGGTTCACTTGATAACTACAGTTTTTGTTATTTTGTTGTAAACTTAGGTCTGTGTTTCAGATATCAAGTTTGTATGCATTGCATTTTATGCTTGTTTACTTTTGAGATATTTAATTTGTTATCCATCGGACAAAGTTTGGCTCGTATCTCTGAATAAACGGCCTTACTATGGTTTTCTGGATACAAAGTTTGGCTCGAATTTCAGAAAATTATACTTCTTAAAAGGTATTTATTTTCTTTCGACATTTTACAGGTTGATACTGACATCAAGCCCCAACCCATTTAGTTGCTTTGTGAAATCCATTATCCACACTCACCTCCTCCTCACCTTTTGGAACTTAGTCTCAGGGAGGGTGCATCGCTATCACTTTATTATTAGCAATTGCCCAATGACTTCAACTTCTCATCTTCTACAACATCTTTAATTTGTCCAAGAGTATACACCAATATTACACTCTAGCAATATCACTCACATGGCCCCAATGAGATAAAAAATATTTTTCACATTTACTGGCAAAACAGATGTGCAACCAGACCACACAGGAACCATAAATAACTAATGCTTTATGTTGATGTACAGCAATTCCACAACAATTAACCAATGAAAATGAGTGCTTTGTGCATCATACTAGATGATGTGCCGAATAGCGTTTGCGGTCAGCTGTTTCAGGGAAAAATTGGAAGTTTGGGAAGTATGTAATTCCCCTACTCTCTGCAACTTGGCTCTTTGCCAGTGAATGAGGCTAAAAAGCAACTTTAAGCCTATTTCTTGGGCGGTCTTAATTCCTCAATAACTGAAGTAATGGCCAAACAAGGACTTTAAGCCTATTTCTAGGCGGTCTTAATTCCTCAATAACTGCAGTAATGGCCTAACAAGGTACGCCATGGCACAACCGCCCATGACAAGGGGTTAAGTATCACTCCATCTCTATAGGACTCTCCAGGAGGTTATCTACAATAGGATGACTTGGGCAGCTTTCCTACTTAACAATAAATTAGAGCAAGGTCTACCAGCTTTATCATGCTCTGTCATGGAGACTTGTTAACTTTTTCTAGAGTCAAAGGTGCAGAAGCCACCAACAGATGGGTAATTTTCTTGAATAGGTCCAGACTTTAAAATTTACCAACTCTGGTATCAACGGTTGCCTTGTGATGTCCAGTACGTAATTATGATAGTTTTAGCAACCACTAGACATCATAGCATTGTTAATGAACCCAAAACTTAGGGTAGATTAACCCGTCAATGACTGGCATCACACCGATGAGACAGAGAGAAAAAGGGGTAATTGTCACTGAGAGAGAGACTCCATCAAAGAGACTAGGTCCAAAAAACCAGGGTATCATGCAAACCCAAACACCAAACCTAACATTTCCTACCTTCTACTTATTCTCTAGATAGAGGGTCAGGCCCATATGTACCCCCACTTATTAGCACTTCGTGCCAACCTTTAGAAAATGGACATTAAGACCTCTGGCTGTGTGAGGGTGTTGTGGACTTGGGTCTCTGAGCGGTGATATGCAGCGGATATTTTCTTCATTTAGCGGTAAATATGAGGCCACTGCAGCTTAAACTATGTTATTCCTTATTCTATTTCCTACACTCTATAAGATGCCGTTATCCATTTCCCACTATCTCCGTGCGACACTTTCAGTACCCTAGCCTTTACGCAAAAAGAATAATAGCCAGTGTCTTTCATGCGAGAAGATTGCGTTTTTGGGTTACCAAGGTAGGTGTGCATGTATGGCACAGACGCTAGTGGTGGCTACTCAGGTGTACAATACGATCTTACCATTCCTTTCTCACTGCATAACTGACGCAAACGCAAACCATTTATCCGCAAGTGTTGTCATGGCTCCTCCAACAGCTGCTCCCTGCTCTAAACTCCCTGACCCTAATATATCAAGAGACAGCCTGGCTTTCCAGCTGTAATGATCCCTCACCGTTGTGGCCCCAGTCCCAGTCCTCTAACTCGGACCTCTGAGGACCCCCAGCAGCCCCAGGGGCGCCTCTCTCCCTCTCTCACAAACACCTCATACATTCGTTGCTTCCGTGACTCACACACACAAGCTCCTCCTGCAGCCCCGTCTCCCGAGCCCCAAGGGACTGTCACGCCGCCCTGCTCCCTCGGGCGAGGAGGCCCTGGGCGCGATGCTCGCCCTTGGCCTCCCGGAATTCCTCGCCCAATTAAAGTCCTCCAAGCAAATGGCTTTCCCGGAGCATTCCTGGCCACTGACTCCCTCCAAGTTCCACCTCTGCGCAATGTGCCTGAACACGAACGCCACAGTCCGCATCATACTTACAGAATTGTTCTCGGGCGACTCAAAATAGGAGCGTTTTTCACCTTATGCGAACTTCACCACGTCCGACACTGCGAAAATGGCGTCGTCTCTGGGGATACGGGCTCTCGCATTTCCTGCTCTCGATGTTTTTCTTTGTTTTAACGTTGGTGTACAATATAACTGTGTCAAATAAATGTCTGAATGCTATTAGGATATTTTCACTCCTGTCTACTACAAAAGATTAATCTAACAAATTCCAGCATAATTCTTTTAAGCCCCGATCTCCTTTCAACGTATGAGACAATCAATGTTATTTCGTAATAAGAAAACTGTTCAGAAATGTTATGTGTAAACGAATTTAATTCTCTGATTGAAGAACTAAGTCTAATTGCAAAATGTGATGTGTACGATTTCATGGCCGAAATTCGAATAGGCCTACCTCGTGCAAAAGCAAGCACATGCTCCGCTCTCTCCCTCCCTCTCCCCCTCTCTCTCTTCTCTCTCCCTCTCTTTCTCTTCTCTCTCTCTCTCTCTCTCTCTCTCTCTCTCTCTCTCTCTCTCTCTCTCTCTCTCTCTCTCTCTCTCTCTCTCTCTCTCTCTCTCTCTCTCTCGCTCTCTCTCTTTCTCTTTAACACACACACCTGCGGTATATATAAAACGAAACCTGGAAAAAATAAAATGAATTATCTTATTTTTGCTTTGCATTTCATTTAACGAAGTGTTTTTCCAAGCTATTTAAGCTTGTAAATGGAATATTGTTACAACCAGTTTATTATGTTGTCAGCAGTATTTTCGGATGCATGTCCTTCCTTCTTCAGGAGTAACCTATAGCAAAGTATATAATCTTTGAAAAAGCATCCTTTCCGATGGCAATTAGGGTGTCGCGAAACGATCCGCGACACCTATCACGAGACACAAAAGGTATCTTTTCCAGCGGTTACGGGAAACGCGACACCTCTTGCGCGACAGGAATCGAGCAGACGGTTAACTTTAAATGAGTTGCCAGATGCATTCCTCCTACTTTGGATATTTCGTGCATATTCGTACTTATATTGGATATCTATAATACCGCACTACTCGCCATAAGATATCAAGAGCTATCTTGGATATCATATTCCAAAATACAGTTTACCTGTTGGAAAAATAACCAGTACAGTAAAATAGCAAGCCGTCAACCGCGATCATTCCCATTACGTCACAGAAATGGGCGGAGCTTAGAGGCCTGTCTCGCCTCCGATCACGAGACATTTTGTGTCTCGTGATAGGTGTCGCGGAGCGTTTCGCGACACCCTAATTACCACCGGAAAAGATGCCTAAAGTGTCTCGTGATCGGAGGCGAGACAGGCCTCTAAGCTCCGCCCATTTCTGTGACGTAATGGGAATGATCGCGGTTGACGGCTAGCTATTTTACTGTACTGGTTATTTTTCCAACAGGTAAACAGTATTTGGAATATAATATCCAAGAAGGCTTTTGATACCTTATGGTGGGTAGTGCGGTGTTATAGATATCCAACAGAAGTACGAATATGCATGAAATATCCAAAGTAGGAGGAACGCATCTAGCAACTCATTTAAAGTTAACCGTCTGCTCGATTCCTGTCGCGCAAGACGTGTCGCGTTCCCCGTAACTGCTGGAAAAGATGCCTTTTGCCCATAGCACCGTAATTCATAGCCCCAGATGAACGGCCTATAAACATTATCCCTGTGCTTCCTAAACCACTACGGTGTCTCCCTTTGGTTTCTCCAATTGTTACCCTTTAAGTAGTTTTACACAAAAAGCCATTCCAGAAGGCTTTCTATGAAGCAGGCTGTACACTGAGCTCCTAACGAATATACAGACTGTCTTCACGTTATGCCCACCATAAAGCGAACAGAACGTGTAGACAAACCAGCATTTACTACCACGACCTAGAATCACTGGTAAACAAGTAACGTTGCTGGCAATTGGCACACCTGGCCTTGAAGTCCTCCTGCCATGCAACCATCAGCGTTGCACCACATCATTCGATGTTTGGCAGAGATTGCAAAACACTTAACGCAGTGAAGGATGCAGCCAAATAACATTCATAAACCATTTCCTAGCTCTTGTATTTCATGTGTTCTTATTTTTGTTTTGATTTTCAGTCCACATAATCTGCCATTTTTATACTTATCGGTAAAAACTCACGATAGAGATATGTAGCTGCAAGTAAGCTGATCACTAGCAAGAACTTCCCTGTTCAGAGCCGATGCCAAAGCTGCTATGAAGAAGGGAAATTCAAAAGTTATTCAGGAAGTATGAATATTTTCTATAGGATACTCAGGTATGTAAAAGTCTTTATGTACATGTTAAAGGACTATGAAATCACGAAGATGAAAAGGGGGTTCACAAGGAGAATTTGAAGAGCAGGTTAATGCGCAGGTGTCCCGAAAGGGCAACAGGAAACGCCGTTCCACGTAAAGTCCGCGGGGCCCCTCTCGATCACTAAACGAGAGAGCTCTACGCAGGTGATATATGTTCAAGAATCCAACTTTCATGATGAAAATGGAGAACCATAGAGCTCAATATTCCAATATGAATAATCTAATACAATTTTTTTTCTATACAATACTACTGGTAATTCCCTAAGTGTGAAAGAAATTTATGGTAATTCAGAGACTGTGAGAGAGGGAGGGGGGAAGGGGGAGGATCGATACCTGACACCCGTAAAAGTGGGTGATTTAAG